ATTCAAGTTGAATATTACTTGCATCTAAGATACGAGGGAACAGACTGCGCCTTAATGTGCGTTCCTCTTCTCTCGGAGGTAAAAAAATTGGAAGACATTCCCGTGCATGGAGATTTTTTGAGTAACTTTCTAGAGAGATATCAAACAGAATTTGGATTCACAATGCCGAGTAGAAAAATTTTGGTAAATGACGTGAGAGTTCGGGGGATTGGAAAATCGGGAATTCCGGATGAAGTGGAATTGTCTCGATCAACAGATCCCCCTAAATCAGAGAAAGCAGTAAAAATTTATTTTGAGGGAGGCTATCATACTGCGAATGTATACCAGATGCATGCATTATCACATGGTCATGTAATCAAGGGTCCAGCCATTATCATCGACAATCTCAGTACAATACTGATAGAGCCTAATTGCACAGGAGTAATAACATCTCGGGGGGACATTCGCATCACCATTGGCGAAGGTTTACGAGATAATGTTACGACCGAACTCGATGCCATTCATTTGAGCATTTTTTCTCATAGATTTATGAGTATTGCTGAACAAATGGGAAGGGTTCTTCAGCGTACGTCGATATCTACTAATATAAAAGAACGTCTAGACTTTTCTTGCGCAGTGTTTGGACCAGATGGTGGTCTAGTTTCAAATGCACCTCACATACCGGTTCATTTGGGCGCAATGCAGGAGACTGTTCAGTATCAGATGAAAGCATTCAATGGTAGGTTCACAAGGGGTGATGTAATCCTGGCTAATCACCCCTCTGCTGGTGGATCACACCTTCCGGATCTAACAGTCATCACCCCGGTCTTTCATGGGTACGTGAAACATGAAAGATTTTACGGTATTTTGAGGATTTATTTTGGATTTAACGCAGGGAAATGGAGAAGCCAGTATTTTTTGTCGCGAGTAGAGGACATCATGCAGATATTGGGGGCATCACCCCAGGCTCAATGCCACCCCATTCGACTACGTTAATGCAGGTAATAATATCGATTTGAGAAATTACAAGTTTTTGGTAGTTAATAATAAATTAATTAATAGTATACAGCGATTTTTTAAAATCATTTGACTTGAGATTTTGTGCAGAGTAGAACTGAATGAATGGAAAGAATGGAAAGAATGGAAATTAATTAAAACATTTACTGAGGGATAGGTCTTTCGATAAGTTCACTGGACTCATCCATCCATCGGGCTTTTTTTTTCATGGGGATATGACTCGCGGAGAGGATGGCAGGGTAAAATAATCTGTTTTTAATCCGCAATATCTCAGGTATTAGCGATGGGAGTAAAAAGAAATTTATCGGAATTGAAAGCCAAACAAAGGTAGCGCCAAACGAAATTAAATGCCGTGAATTCTCCCTGGATTTTGGGATTTGGTGCTTCAAAGCTATTCATTTCATCCGCACATCCTCATTACTTTCAGAAAAATCTCAAATCTTTAATTTATTAAACTAAACAGATTTATCCATTGAAATGAAATTGAATACCTATTCCGATATTCATCGTTTGACATATGCACGACCGACAATTTATTGGATTACCAGTTTATTAAGTTCGAATTGTTTAATAATTGGAATTAAATCGGGAGTGCACTCAGTGATTAAATAGAATATGCATTCAATTGAAATTTTTAATATTCGATATTGGAAAATTTCTGTCGACATAATTATATGAATCAATGAAAAATGTCGATGGAAAAAATATGAATAAAAATAATGATTTCATTTGATAAATTGGAAGGAATTGATGTGAGAGTAATGATTATTTCTCCAGGAAGGTGCAACCTTCAAGAGTTTTCTTCTAGTCCATAAGGGTGTATTTCGAGAGAAGGAAGTGACCGAAGCACTCATGTCACCGGGCAAACATCACGGCTGCTCCGGTACTCGCAATTTACCGGACAATCTCAGTGATCTTAAAGCTCAGATTGCTGCTAATCATAAGGTTGGATGAACCTGGTACTCACCGAAGCGTGTTATATTGAATACTGACTGTATTCACCCCCCCGGGGGTCGGGGTGTTGACTTGCAGGGCACGCAGCTGGTAAACGAGCTCATCGACATTTATGGTTTGGACGTTGTCCAAGCATATATGGGTCATATACAGAGCAATGCAGAGATGGCGGTGAGGGAGATGCTGACGACTGTTGGAGAAAAGCTCCTGAGAAAAACAGGAAGTTGTTGCGTTACTGCCAGGGATTATCTGGACGATGGCAGTGTTATTCAACTGAGTTTGGAGGTTGATGTGGATAAAGGAGAGGCTGTATGTGATTTCACGTAAGTTGTTTCCATAGGAATTTTCATTGTTTTCCAGTTCCAGAAGGTTTTTGTACAGTCTCAATTGGTGAATG